GCACGCTGTTTCTCTTATCTCCTGAGCCTCATCAAACTTGCTCCCAAACAAATTCTCATTAGACACACTGCCTGAGCCCTTGGCAATCACTGATCCTGGTACTGTGCCCAGACCGTATCCCACTATGACCAGAGAGAGGTTAAAGTGCTCTCCAGGGTGGACTGTTATGGTATTCAGGACTTTGTAACAGTCTGGAATGCCGTTCTCACAGAAACATACTCTAGTGGGGTCAGAGGTAAAATTGGAGAGATCTGAGGAGTCGTTGAGTCCATTGTAATGAAATAGCTCTGATCCATGAGGGACGGGACACTTGGCACAAAAATAGCTCAATGATGAGTCACATGGCACGCAGGCGGATGTGCGACCTCCATAGATGGCGTTGCCAGCCCTACCTGCCTTGTTCTGGTTGAAAGTGAGTGAGAAAAACTGGCAAATATCGAACGAGTTGTCTGGCATGACTTGAATGGAGCAGATATCAGCAAACCTATACTTTCCATTTCCCTCTTCTTTGAGTCCTATTCCTGCCCGTGGTTCAGAGATGTAAATTGCACCACCCAGGAACTGGGCATGATTGCTGGTAAAGTCAACCGTTGCGTTTGGAGATATGTACATGACCGAGGAAATGAGAGTCAAGGCCCCTCCATTAGGCGCATAATTATCTGAAAATGATGCCGTGTTAGTAATGAACAGATCACTATTCCATTACATACATCCCCCCAGTCAGTCCTCCTCTGTTCCCCACTACTTCAAGGTTTCCGCCGAACACTACCGTAGATGTAACGATTGTTTGAGCTCCGAAATCACTGATACTGTTGTTTGCTATTCTCACTGTCCCATTGAAAATAACAGTTGAAGTCTCAAAACGAAGTAAATAATAATCACTTTTGTTATCCAACACAGCCAGTTTTGAATCCGATGACATTGTACATGATCCATAGGAGAATGCAAAAATACGACTGTGACCGTGCATAGTATTATGTCTCATGTAAAACACTGACTCATTTTCTATTTTGGCCTTTGTCCTAAGACACCAGAACCCAGCACTTATATCTGTCATTATATTGTTGGTAAACTCAAGAGACGATTCCTTAATGTCCAAGTGAGTGTCCTGATTACAAAAAATACACGAGTCTTTGTACATTTCATTATGTGCAAACACTAATGATTGCTTCTGAAGTGTGAGGTTTGTAATAGCGCTTCCCATTAATATTCCACCCTGACGGCAGACATTATCTTTAAAGAGGACCGCTCCAGCAATTAGAACAGTAGTAGAGTGGTATGATTTCAATAGAGTGCTTTCCTCGTCTGCTAGCAAGTTATTGGTAATTGCAAACCAAGATTCATTAATGTCCAATCTTCCCATGTGATTTTCAAATGTATTTGACCGGTTGTGCATATTATTCTGTGTAAAGTTGACTTTTGATTGCTTCTCAAATGTGATGTTTGCATGGAAATTTGATATTAAAGTGCTGCCATGACACTCATTCTCCTTAAGGAGCAATTTTCCTGTGCTTACAACAGTAGTCATAGAGTCTTGGCACCGCAGTACATAGCTTTCATCTTTCACCAAGTTGTTGGTGACAAGGAGAGAAGAATTATTAACTTTCAATAATCCCTTCTGATGGTTAAACAAAATGTAAGAACGATTGTAAATCTGGTTGTGGGTGAAAGTAACAAAGGATCCCATTTCCACTTTGATGGATGTTTCTTTGGTTTCCATGATTGATGAGAAAAGTTGACATTCATTCTCTTCAATTAAGAATTTGCTTGCACTCATAAAGATGTAAGAGTCCTCATAAACTAGTCCCCTGCTTATATTTACCACTGAATTGTTTGTAATAACCAATGAGGATTCATACACATCTAATGAGGCTCTTTTATTGAGGAACAAGAATGACTGCTGGTGTATCTTATTGTGCGTAAAGTTAAGAAATGATCGCTTTTCCAATTTTGTGTTTGTTTCAATGTTCACGGTTAAATATGAGAGGTTTTTACACTCATTTTCCTCAAACAGCAGGTATCCTGCACTAAAATCAAAGGTAGAGTTGAAGCAAAATAACAACAGAGGGGAACTTTCGTCAGACACCGAGTCGTTGGTTATGACCATGGAAGATTCATTAATCGCACTGTAAACAATTTGTTCTCCTCCACTTACACTGTTCTCTCTAAATGTTAGACTAGAATTGTTGACTTTAAAGGTTGAATTCACCATATACAAAGCAGAGCTATCACATTTGGTGATATTAAACCTCATAAACATAATCTCCGAGTTTTCCTCAATAAAAAACTGGGTCCTATAAGCCATCAGCCCATGTTGTGAGTTATCACCACGGAAAAGGACTTTACTGCCTCGGATGTGAAGGTCTAGGTCTTGGACAGTGAGTGAGCTTTGGTTCACCGTTAATCTCTCTCTCACAGCCACATGTCCCCCTTCAAGGTGAGATGTGCAGTTAACCACATCAAGGTTTATGATTACGACATCAGCATTCAATGACACTATGCAATAGCTATTGTTAGTTAACTCAATCAGGGCGGATGTTGGTTTGTTTATCATCATAGACGTTTCTCTACTGTTGTCATTCAGTGTCAGATGAGGGTTCACATTGTTCGTTGGATCCTCATAGTTCTGGTCAGTTGGAAAGGCAATGACAGCCAGAGCCAGTACTGGAGAATTTTCAATACGAACTCTGGAGAGAAGCACATTTGTGGAAGCCTCAATGAGTAGTGAAGTCGCAAGTGGTGGTGGTGATGACATGTCATGAGACGGACGTCTTTGTACGACGTACTCTAACAAGTGGATTGGAATGGTAGAATCACATCGTCTAATTGTAAGTCCAGTCAGTGTGACATTGGTGGATTTTTTGAGGTGGAGGCCAAAGGTGGACTGTGGGGAGCACTCAATAAGACTGCCACTTTCTCCACCAGATATTGTCAAGTTGGACACATTCTCAATGACTACAAAACCATTACTGTCATCTACACTGAATTCCGCTTCACTCAATACGATGAGTCGGTTTGGGCTAATGATCTCTTGTAGTTGCCAGAAGTCATCAGGTGAGACATGGCAGGTTCCTCCTTCACACAGAGACTTTGTTTGGTTGGACTCAATGCAGATTGTGAGCTGCAGAAGCAGCACCAGGATACATCTTGTCACCTTCATGGCCAAAATCTGTATTAGTGCGGGAAGGAAATGAAGGCAGTAAGACCTAGCGAAAAGAGTTTTATGTCGACATTATGTATGCCATTGCTAATGCATGTCGCTAATCACCGAACCGACGGTGCTTTCAAACTCGGCAGTAAGACACTAACAGACCCACCCTTAGCTATAGAGATAGACATCTGCATGAGGAATAGCTACTAATATATCAAAAGCTAAATCTTTCTTGGAGCAAGAAAAACTCTTTGTATGTCAGCTTATTGGACACTAGTGTTCTTTTGCAGTTTGCTTTGTGTTGCTTTAGACTTGCTACTCAGGGTTCCTGGGAATTGTTAAATTTTTTTTATAATAGTTTAGCACAGAAGCAAGGAATACGTGTAAGTAGCACTCAATTGCTAATACGAGACATGATTCCCATGAGAATTAAGATGACGTTTGAACAGAGAAAAAGAGGACTCAGAACATAGAGTACTATCAAGACTGTTCCACAATCTAATAGTTGCAGGAACAAACGAGTGGTACAGGAGTGGGAATTGTTTTTGGTGTATAATTAGAGGCGTTTCATGTACAATTATTAACAACAGACATGCATTCCTTCATGTACAGACGCATTCTCCTCAGCTGCAGTATAATTATACATTGACTGCGGGTATTTCTGTAGCCAATACCAAAGCAGTATGTGTAAGCAGACCTCCTCATTTAGTGAGAGATAATAGCTCATTCCTACACACACAAACTACACCAGCACCTATGCTCACCACTGGTGTAGTAACTGCAAATTTGTTTGCTTTTTTAATGTCACACGAACCTCCTTAGCTGTGTATTGGGAAAACAGAGGATTGATTATTCCAGTCTCATGCATCTGGGTGAATTGAAGTGTAGGAAAGATAGCTACCCATCTCATGTGTATATTATTATACACATTGCAGTCAGACACCTTTTTCGAACAACAGATTATCACGATATTACAGCGACAATTATTATCTCTAGCGTAACATTAGGTGAATTCTCTTCTTATCACTCTAAACTTCCTGTTACCTGGTGGCCAATATCTCCAGTGTTTTTCTGGTATATATATACCTTATAGGTGTAGATGCGACGGCAGTCCATACAGCTGGAGGGAGGGACCGGGAAACACGTCTTCCCCGCCGCAAGGGAGCGGCAAATGCCAACAGACAGAGCTCGCAGGGACAGCGTCTCCCTTCAGAGAGGACCCGGCAAACACGCAGTTGCGAGGGCACCGCGTGTAGCGCTCCCTGTGAATGCTCACTAACGGGTGTAGTTGGGTCGCTCCCGCTCGCCAATAATGCATCTAATAGTAGTAGAGGAAGTTTATGTACTGGAAATTCTCGGACGCAATGAATAATCCTGGACGATAGCAAATTATTTTTACCCCGGACTAGCTAGCTACCTCTATGGCCGCAAAAGATTGGAAATTCTAGGCGAGCGAGCGGAGCGAATACCCCGCCGAAGCGTAGCTATAACTTGCTACAGCTACGTACGTCTGCAAGTTGTCCGACTCCTTACCAACACTGTGAACAATTTTAGTAGAGAAAGGCCGATTATCAATGTGAGTATTATATGGAAATCCAATTTACACATAATTTGCGTCTTTGGTAGGTCAGTAGCTAAAATAATTGCTTGGTAACTGCTCGAGTAATAGCCTGCGCTGACAAAGTTACAGTGTTCTTTGTCGTCTGGGAACTCCGCATGCCCAAAGCTAACCTACTATCGGTTTTCCAGCAGCATAAACGACCATTCTGCGCATGCGCATTACGATTGCGTGATGCGTCAAACCATAATTATGCGCCTGCGCAAAACTTATGAGATGACCGCACCATCTCAAACCAATCCGGCTAGCCGATCGCCATTAGCCAGTCAGTAGAAGATTGTGGTCTACTTGTGTTGTGTGAGCTACAGCTGATCTGGACAGGCATCGCTGGAGGTGGTTTTGAAGAAGGCCTACAACGCGAGGTACGGATTCAGTACGTGTTGTGAGTCGTCTAGCTAGCTCAGTTAGCTGTGTAAAAGGTAGCGTGTAGAGCTAGAGCCAGCAGTAGACCAAGACGCGTGTGTTGCCTACAATCGTTGTAGTGAATACAGTTACCGATAGGTACGTATAGTATGTACGTATATTGACCGGCAGACTGGATCGCTTCGACTATAAATTTACATTTGTGGTTGCATCTGCGCATTGGGACGTTTTTCTATATAAACTGCCTCACGTGTTTTCTACGCATTGGAACTTGTCTTGTGCAACGTGTTGTGCAATTAAAAGGCTGTCCAACTAAGTCGTGTTTGAAAACATGTACGTACATTGTGTGGGAATAATAGGAGCTTTCATAGGAATTGAGGAAAAGAATATAGGGCAAAAACAAGGAATAATCCGCACAGGCCTATATACTCCACGGGCCAAGGAATTTCAGCAGCCGAGTGGTTGCGGTGATGAATGCGCTATAGTACTAACGCGCGTGCGCGAACACACGTACTTTTTGGATGGTACTTGCAGAGCCTGCGGAGCAAGCCCGCTTGACTCAAAAGCTCGTAGACCCCTGCAAGACTTGCCAAAACCGATAGGAAGCTCACAAAAACGTCATTTCCAGTCACACAAACGAGCTTATTACATGGCGCTGTAGAAGCTTGAGTGACAGAAAACCAACAGCCTTGTCGATCGCTTGCTCTAGCTTGCTCTAGCTCCATTACTATAAAAACGTGACGTTCTCGCAGCGCTATCCGGACCCTGTGCCGTTAGTAATTGCATACCAACACCTTTTCCAGCATTCCAGCCTTGGCCTGTGGAGAGGCATAGTTATTACCAGACTCTTCTCTCCCTCCCTGGCGCATGCGCTTACGCGTGCGCATATATTTTGCGAAGGGTCTGGGCACCAGACTACTCGTTTCCAGGCTTACTTTCTGTCTACAATTTTTCTTGAGCACTAAAGGAGGCACAGACTTTCCCGAACTAGCGTTCTTTACGCAGTGCGTTTACTCACTGCTTGACTCGGCAGAGAAGGACGACTGACCGCGGTAGTTTTTAGGCGGTTCATAACCATCTCATCTGCGTACTTTTCGCTAAGGACGTCTGCAATGGTGCAATCGTCGAAGAGAACGAGCGTTCGGTCCGACCGACCTGGCACCTAAAAATGGCAGTGGGTCCACAGCCGTGCCCAAATATGGTCCGAAAACTATGACGCAATCCGTTACCATGGTATAAATTAGTTATACCACTCCTACGTCGGGTGTTTCCGCAAATACCCTCAGGAATGTATGATAATTCCTCGGGTTGCGCCCTCGGGATTATCAACACATTCCTTCGGATATTTGCTATAACCCCCTCGTAGGGGTGGTATAACTACTACATACCACCCCTATTACACCCCTTGTGTCAGTGTTGTGTCGAGTATAGCTACTCAGAGTAGTGACCATATTTACTTCCAGTTCTTCATTGTTCCCACTTAAATCAGCAACTCCGAAGTTCATTCATACGCCGAAAGAAACAGAAAGAAAGCTAGTTGGCCATGTCAAAATGTTTGTGCTGTTTATTTGGACAAAAGACTAGTAGCCCAGACCAGCATGAAGAAGAGCCTGAAGAAAAGCAAGCTGGCAAGTCTAACACTGCTAAATATATACCAAGATGAGTCAAAATCTGGGATTGATGAAAGCCGTAATCTACACAGAAAAAGACCATTATCAGCATCAGCGATTAAGTCGAAATCTAAAAAACCTCAAAATGAAAAGAGTGAAATCACCACCTGCACAACTCTTGCAAGAAATCCTCATCAGGGAATACCACAACAAACACTCTCAGATAAAAGTGCTAGCGACAGTGCAGAATCGGTGTATAAAACACCTCCGACTAGCAGACGCCCGTCAGCCAGTATCCATCCTCTGATCAAAGTGACAAGGGTAGGAACAACAGCTACTGCTCCCTCTCCCACTTCAACTCTCCCACATTCACTCAAGTCAGTAGCATCTCCACTATCTTATATGTCTCTGCTGCCGAACCAACATGAGATACTGAAAGCAGTCAAAGATTTAAGTGAAAAGCTGGATGAAGTGCAGAGTCAACCGAATTGTAGGAACCCTGGTGGATCTCTTTTACCTCAAAACGTTCCTGTCAGCCCCAGTGTTATCTTGGAACTATCGAAACATGTGGCAAAACCACAGTGGAAGTTTCTTGCAAGGAGGCTTTATCTCCCTGATCACGACATTGACCAAATAGAGGCTAATCATAGGGAGAATATCCAGGAGCAGAGCTATCAGAAGCTTCTGAAATGGATCCAGAGCAGTGGTGGAGGGTCTTACCAGGAACTTGGCGAGGCTTTGAGAAAGCAGTTTGGGCAGCAGCTTTACTCTGACTTTGTGAAAATAGTCAGGGAGTCTGAAGAACAATAACCAACTTATGTAGCTAGTGTGAAACAAGGAGGTTATCATTAGCACTTCTTTAGTGTTTGTGTGTATATAGCTTCCAATTATAATATTGTAGTCAGTGTAGTTTATCTTGTTCATGTGCCCATTTATGCTGATTGTAGTGAGTAATGAGAGGGAGGAAACGTTACTCTTACTCATAGCGAAAGTAGAGTTGTTGCCTGGAAACCAAGCCTTCCCCGTTTCTAGTCACGAGACATTGACCAGCAGTGGATAATTCATACATGGGAGTGGCTGTGAGGGGACGCAATGCCAGAGTTAACTACTATGTGGGGAAAGGTGACGCAATTTTTTTCCGGCTTATTTGTTACCCTTCTTAACAGTACACTTTGTCTTGAAGCCAATTAATTGGGTAGCCATTTGATTTATTGAGACAATACTCCTGACG